ACACCTGACTGACATACATACGGACGGTCAATAGGGAGTAAACATTATCCTAACATCTTCATTATCCAAGTTACCAAAACAAAAATATCCAGGGGTCAGAATTCTCAAATATGGATAACTTAAAACACCTGATTTTTTTTTCCCTTAAGTCAATATAAGACAGCGTATTAAGATTAGGTTAGGTTAGGTTAGGTTAGGTTAGGTTAGGTTAGGTTAGGTTAGGTTAAGTTAGGTTAGGTTAGGTTAGGTTAGCAGCCATCATGAAGCATAAAGGGATTTAGTTTCATTGTTTATTTAGTAAAGGAAAGATGAATTAAACCTTACGATAGTTTTTTGGGAGAATCTGAGACGTGAGTTGTTCATTTTGGCGTTGTTGTTGTTGTGGTGGTGGGAGGCCTCAGTGGTACCCGTAGCCTACCTTGGGACAGACTGTCTTGTAGGCTACGATGTTCTTAGCCACCGTGACGTAGTGAGGTACTGGTTGCTCGTCGTAGAGGGTCTGGTACTTTACTAGGGTCTCAGTCACATATACTGGGGTGTACTGGGTCTTGTAAAGCGTCTCGTAGGCTACTTGGGTTTGGACTCGGGTTTTGTACCGGGTGTCTGTGACGTAGGTAGGGACGACTTGAGGCACGGTGACGTACTGGGTTTGGTACTGGGTCTGGTATTGGGTCTGGTACTTGGTGACGTAGTTGACTTTGGTTGTGTAGACGACCTGTGTGACGTATTTGGGAACGTACTGGGTCTGGTACTTGGTCTGGTATTGAGTTTGGTAGTTTGTCTTGTAGAGGGTGGTAGGGACGATCTGCTGCTGGTAGGCGGTCTGGTACACTGGGTACTGTAGTGAGACGGCACAACATACATTACTATAACCAAACTCTACCCAGGAAACACACACACACACACACACACACACACACACACACACACACACATACACACAAAATATCCTGACATTATCTGCTAAGTTAAATAAACTAGACCAAATAAATAAAACAAATAAAATAAGTAAAATTAAAAAGATATGTAAGACAAAGTGCAATAAATAAGTGAAATAAGATAAGTAAATAAAAAAATCTTAAACTTGTAATTTTCTATATATAAAAATCTTTCATTCACACAACGGAACGACTAAATCTTGATTATTTTAATTATCAGGTCTTCCTATGTCCTCTTTCATTGTCTGTTATGGTTTCTCTCTCTTTCTATTAGTTCTTCATTATCTGGTTTTCCCTGTGTCTACTTTCATCTTTGTTTACCGTTCCCTTCATTCTTGTTACCTGGGAGATCGAGATAGAGGAAGCTACGTCACTCAAGGAATAGGTAAGCTAGGGTTGTTGTTTTTTAGTGCTGGGTGTTCTATCCTCTAGCCCTCAGCCACCCTAGCCCTTGAGACCTCCCTTAGCCCTTAGATCTTATCCTTTGAATCCTCTCTCCTACTCCTTAGCCCTCTTAATCCATGAATCCTATCCCTAGCCCTCAGCCCTCCTAGCCCTTGAGTCCTAGCCCTCAGCCACCCTAGCCCTTGAGACCTCCCTTAGCCCTTAGATCTTATCCTTTGAATCCTCTCTCCTACTCCTTAGCCCTCTTAATCCATGAATCCTATCCCTAGCCCTCAGCCCTCCTAGCCCTTGAGATCTATCCTCTAGCCCCTGACCTGCCCTCTCTAGGTTGATACTCACGTGCTGGATTTGTGTCTGGTAGGCTTCCACATACTTGGTCACCGGGTAGCAGGGCTCAGGGTAGCTAGCCTCAGGGTCAGCCTTGGGGTCGGCCTTGGGGTCAGCCTTAGGGTCAGCCTTGGGGTCGGCCTTGGGGTCAGCCTTAGGATCAGCCTTAGGATCAGCCTTGGGGTGAGCTATGGGGTGAGCTTTAGGGTCAGCCTTGGGGTCGGCCTTAGGATCAGCCTTGGGGTCAGCCTTGGGGTCAGCCTTGGGATCAGCTGACACCATCGCTACCATCAGTACCACCACCAGCACCACCCGACCTAGTGACCACATCATCTGCCAACACCGTCAATTTGTTTACATAAATTATTAAAAAAATAATCCATGTATTATCCACATCTAATCCAACATTACAATTTCATACGTTTGTGATATGAATTAAAACCAAACAAACAAACAAACAAACGTGTTTTTATCCACACGAGAACGAAAGTTAGAAATTGACAATAATTATTTTTTTATCTTAATTAGTTTACGTAATATTTATATCAATTATCCAAATGAATAAAAAAAGGATTAAATCAAAAGGAATTGACGTTATTGACCTAAATATCAAGAAATGGAAAAAATAATACAATAAATTTCAAAACTCATATACTAAGATTATTTTCATTTTAAGTTTATTATATAAATTTACAAATTATAATTTTTTTGGGGGGGAGGGAGGAGGAGGTATTCTTTCACGAACTAAAAATTTAATATAAGGACAAAAAAAAGGGTGATTTTTTACCTTAGAAGCAGTAGATGTTGTTATAGGGAGCAGGTGAGTGAGTGTGTGTGTGGTGGGGGCGGCGACCTGGTATATATAGGTGTGTGTGTGTGTGTGTGTGTGTGTGTGTGTGTGTGTGTGTGTGTGTGTGTGACAGCAAGCAGGGAAGGTTGCCAGACTCCGGAACGACAGGGGTGTGGGAGGAGTGTGTGCAGTGAAGTGTGTGTGTGTGTGTGTGTGTGTGTGTGTGTGTGTGTGTGTCCACTTTTTTCTTTCGGTGTCTTATAATGTAGGAGTTGGTATAGTATCTCTCTCTCTCTCTCTCTCTCTCTCTCTCTCTCTCTCTCTCTCTCTCTCTCTCTCTCTCTCTCATCCTATATATATCTATCTCTATAAACATCTAATTCCCAATCATTATCCCTCTCTTATTCTATTTAACATCCCCCACACCCCCCACACACCCCTCCCCACCCCCACACACACACCCCACCACACGTGACAGACCTGTAATAAAGAAGTAACGACAATAACACCTTGTATATACAGGAATAAAATATAGGCCATATTATTATAACTTCTCACTACAAAACGCGATATTTTATTAATTATTTACTAAATGTATTTGTTCGTAGACGATTTTATATATCACCCCCATCCTTCTCTACCCCCACCTTCCCCCACCAACCCCCACCCCCACCACCCCACATGTTTTGTTCAAGGTTAAAATTATTGACATTCCCCAAGACGATAGGTGGGTGATATTAGCCAAGAGACACTCACTCATTCAGTATTGTACCTCAGTCAAAAAGTTATATATTATGTGTTAACTTTTGGATATGTTGAGTGGAAAAAAAAAATAATAATAATATAAAATTGACAGGATAGAAAATGTATATAATAGGGTTTTATTTTATTATTATTATTATTATTTATTTTATTTGTTTATTTTTTTTTTTTTACAGGAAATTCACACGTGCCACTGACTGAGACGAAAGACATTGTCAACACCTGGGAACTTGAAGACACAGGTAGGTACATCCCGTTATCTTGCTCTTTCTTGATGGTAATTAAGTGACTGACTGATAATGGTTTTGTTTTTCCGAGTGAGGGAGTTTTTTTTATGCAAATTAGTCTCGTTATCTCCTGTGTTTGGGTGTCGTTTACATCTTCACTAATGCAGCTTTGTCTAATTCTTGTTGATTCTTGTTCTCCTGTATTAGATTCTTAAGAGAAGTGGACAGGGAGGGAGGAGGAGGAGAAGTGAACAAGGGAGGAGGAGAAGTGGGCGAGCAGGAGGAGGAAGTGGACAGGGAGGAGGGAGGAGAATGGGCAGGCAGGGAAGGAGGAGAAATGGACGGGGAGGGAGGGAGGAGAAATGGCAGGGAGGAGGAGGAAGAACTAGTTAAGAATGACATACAAGGGCGTTGACTCATTAAGTGAAGCCAGGTGAGCAATTACCTCCACATCACCAGGTAACGTCAGACACACACACACACACACACAATTGATGATGTCTGTCTCACATCCTCGATTCATTGAAAACAGGATGTTGCAGCAGCACGTTGAGGGGCAGCACGGGCGGGCAGGCGGGCAGGTTACCAGATAAATGAATTAGTCCACAAGGTTCGCCTATATAATACCCGTGGAGTAAGATAAACGCTTCCTTACATAACTCTTAATAGCTCATCAAACACCGCCACGCTGATATGACACTTGAGAATAGAAGATGTAAGTGGGCTCTTATGCACTTTAAAGCAAAGTGGGTTATGACGCAGCCAGAAAATGATAAATGTGGGCCAAACTGGATTTTTTTTTCAGTGTGTGCCTTGTGGTTCAGGGTTATTAGGGGTGGTGGTGGTGGTGGTAGTGGTAAGGGTGGTGGTGGTGGAGTGGTGGGTGTCAGAGGTGGATGAGGTGTGGGTCATGTCATCTCCATTAAAATCTTGGGTGAATGATGAAAGTAGTGTTGGTGGTGATGGTGTATGTACGTAATTAGTGGTAATTAATTAGAACACTCATTAGTGGGTCATAACTCGATATTTTATTAGGGGAAGGGAGGTAAGAGGAGGAGGGAGGGGAGGAGGGTGATTAGTTGTAGGTCAAATGAATTTTAAGTCTTATGGGCCCACCACCCATACACCCACCACCTTACACACAGCATACCACCAACACACCCTACACACCACCCTACACACCCAACACACCCCACCCACCCAACACACCCCACCCACCCAACACACTTCACCCACTACACCTCAGCCAATCAACAGGTAACGGTAGAACAGGTAAAATCCCTTTGACGTAAGTTCTCATGATTTATTAGCATGACTAACGCCGCTCTGCACTGTATTAGGGAACTCAGCGGCCCGTAAAGTTGAACCCCAGTTAGTTTTCCACGCTTATATGACCACTTTCCTTTATTGCTGCACATCCGGTCGTGTTGAGGGAGACTGACTACATTAACAAGGCCGTTGTCACAAGAGAATAACACCACTGCCACCATTGTGAGGTTCTGTTAACGGCTGTGAATATTCTGGGGTGTGAAGATTGGTATTTTGGTCACTGTTGTCGGGTGTTGCGCCTTTAGATCCCTGGTAGTGGGGGTGTGAGGTATCGTCTGCCATGTGATTTGGTTTTTTTTTTATTGTTATTTGTTGTTGTTGTTTTTTTGAGGAGGGAAGAGTGAGACAGGGATACGACTGTCTTGTCTCGAGAGAGGAACATGGCGTATAAAAAGTAAATTCTCTCTTTGCTTCAGGAACACCAATGGTTAGGGAGTAACACAGGAGTACATATTGTTTCGTCTCAACTCTGTTTTATTTTTTTTTCACTGGAGTCTATTATGGTTCAAATTAGTGCATTTCGGTTCGTTATGGTCCATTTTAAGTTTGTGCATTCTGGTTCTTGGTGGTCCATTTTGAGTCTGCATTCTGGTCCATGGTGGTGTTTTGAGTCATTCTTCTGGTGCATTCTGGTCCATGGTGGTGTTTTGAGTCATTCTTCTGGTGCATTCCGGTTCGTTATTGTATATTTTTAATCATTCTCATCATCTAGGGAGTCAGTTGAGCTTCACCATCTTGTTTCTCACCGCCACACGCCCCAGTAGCTGCCGCCTTTATCTACACGGGAGAGACAGGACCTTGGGTGGGCGGGGGTGTGTCTCAGCATCAGTCCTCAAGCAGTCAGTCATCTTGGGGGATAATAATAATCAATACTTAAGGTGGTGGAGGGTTAGGGACACCACCCACCCACCCAACCACCCACCCACAGATCCCATCCATTCATCCACCCACCCACCCACCCACCCACAGATCCCATCCATTCACCCACCTACCCACCCACACCATCACCTACTTGTATAATACTTCTCTTTATATTCAAGATTAGTTACGTTAGGTTAGGTTAGATTAGGTTAGATTAGGTTAGGTTACGTTAGGTTAGATTACGTTAGGTTAGGTTAGGTCAGGTTAGGTTAGGTTAGGTTAGGTTAGGTTAGGTTAAGGTGGTTGATCTTCAGGTGAAATGAGCTAAGGTGTCAAAACAAGTACTGTATATATTGTTCCTGCACACACACACACACACACACACACACACACACACACACACACACACCACCCACCACGTACTAGAGATAAAACCTTCCCTCTCATCCCCCCGCCCACCACAAGAACAAAGAGCCCTGAACTTGTGATGAATATAAAGCTTGCTACAAATCCTTGAGTCTTATACCCACATAATTATCTCTCTGTTACGTTACCTTGACGATCTTGTGAGGCAGAAGTTGTTGACACCCTTGACTTAGTAACAAGTAGGGAATCGTTAAGACCAACAGGAACAGGTACAGGAACAGGTACAGGTACAGGTACAGGTACATGGCCCCGTCTTGTCTCTGACCCGTCCAGTACAGTACATGGCCCCATCTTGTCTCTGACCCGTCCAGTACAGTACATGGCCCCGTCTTGTCTCTGACCCGTCCAGTACAGTACATGGCCCCGTCTTGTCTCTGACCCGTCCAGTACAGTACATGGCCCCATCTTGTCTCTGACCCGTCCAGTACAGTACATGGCCCCATACCGTCTTTGCTCTGACCCGCCCATAAGGATCAGAATTCTTAACTTGACCCAATAATACAAAACAAATTTTTTATATCATTATATTAACTCTATAAAAAGTTATCAAGCGGAAACCCAAAACAGTGTTGACGGATAGACGGGCGGACAGACGAACAGACGGCGGGACAAACAGACGGAGGGACAAACAGACGGAAGGACAGTCAGACGGACAGACACACAAACAAATAGACAGACAAATAGACACAGACGCACCATAGCTCTTATATCCCCCCCCCCCAAACTTTCAGTGGCGGGGGGAATAATAAAAAAATAAAAATAAAACTTAGGTCGCTTAATTGACGTCATATCATCAACAAAACTCTATGAGAAAAAAAATGGCCTCATATTAGTGGTTTAGTCTTTATAGAGACGATTTAAACCCCTTGGAACTTTTAAACTCTGTCCAATTTATTACGCTGAAGACAATGGCAATAATGATGATGATGATGATGATGATGATGATGATGATGATGATGATGATGATGATGGAGCTGAGGAGGACTGTGTGTGTGTGTGTGTGTGTGTGTGTGTGTGTGTGTGTGTGTGTGTGTGTGTGTGTGTGTGTGTGTGTGTGTGTGTGTGTAGAGGGAAATACCAAATAATAACATCTTGTAGCCACGATTGTTTCAATTTACACCTGCAAGAGAAGGTCTCACAAAGGTCATAGGTCAAGTGAATCCCAATTTGCCCATTAAACCTTAACAGTGTATTGCAATCGAACCCCCCATTTCCATTAAGACCCATTAGGAACGGGAACCTATTAGACTTTGGATCCATTATAACTGGACTCTAATGGAAATGGTTATGGTAGTTGAAGGCTATTTGATACAAGACCCATTAAGATTGATTCCCCATTAATTTAAGGGAAGGTTATAATGGGGACCAGGGTTAATGGGTAGGTTATGTTAAAGGTCTATTAGAAATCACCACCGTACTCATTTATCTCAAGACA